TTGGCGCCATCGTTGTTGGCGCCGAGGTCTTGGACTTGACGCAGACGTGGCGGTGACTTGGTAGGCAGCTCGCTACCATAGATCCTGGCGCCGAGCTCGGCGCCGTAGATCTTGACGCCGAGCTTGGTGCCATGATCTATGGCGTCGAGGTGGTGTTTTAACCCCGGCCCCAACCTTCCTGCCCGAGCTTTCTTTCTCTTCTTTCTCCTCCCTCTCGGGTTTTTTCTCTCCCCACTTCGCCCTACCTCATGAATCGATATATTGGACCTTGGAAACTTTGATTTGATCCATAGATCTTCGAGAGCTAGGTATCCTCGCTCCCCTCATAGTTTTTTTCGCATCGATTCGGTATATATTAGTCGGATTTTTCAACCTAAGAATCGCCATGACTTAGGGTTTCATGCAATTTTTAATATTTATATTATACAACCGTAGGATGATGCCAAGGCGTAGAAAAGCTAGCAAATCTAGATAACCGCAGCGCATGTTGTTATGTTATGGGTTCATTGTTGTGCATCAAATGGGAAACCCTAGGTTTAGGGTTTAGGGTTTAATGTTAATTGCTTTCGGTTCTTAGAACGAAATTGGTTGTATTGCAGTTATAGTTCTCATTGACATTAATTAGTGATGTTTTGATTTTTGTTTGTTAAATTACAACCGTTTTGTTAGATGCAAAAAATGTATCGCGAGGAGTTTTGGCAAAAACAGGGTCGTCCTCGAGAATTATACCCCGACACGTCTAGCAAAGATGCTCCATCCCTCCTGACCTCCCAATCCCTAATTGTGACTGTGGTTTCCCAGCCGACGTGTTTCAATCGAGACATCCAGACACAGCGGCGCGTTGCTTCTACACATGCAGTCGTTTTAATGTAAGTAATTGTTTCCACTATCTTTTTCTTCATTTATGTAAGGAGGCTACTAATATTTTGTTGGAATCTTGTTATGTAGGACCATGAGAGGTGCTTTTTCTCTCAATGGATCGACGGTGCAGAGAAGTTTGACTCTAGGTACCTTCTTTTCGACGATTGGTATAGAGGGAGACATCCACGTGAGCACTTCCAGCGTTGGGTTCCACCCCCCTAACCCCCGCCAATGATGGCTAAGGAGAAGCACCTAGCCACAGTTAGATGACTCGAGGAACCCCTCTGTGCGAATACGGAGATCGAGCTGTGATAAACCCTAAGAATATATTGGAGTTTGTGTGTCCGAACAAACACGAAGTAAGTGGAAAGTGTATGTTTAAATATTTATCTCTATATGTGTGCGTGTACTAATGTATTCTCTTGTAGCATTATGGATTTGCGAAGTGTCGTTTCAATGAGTGGCTCTACGGTCCTAAAAATCAATGGCGGAGCCACCAAAGGCAAAGAAAAAGAAGAAAGAAAGGTTAATTTATAAAGCACCTCTAGTCAAGTGTGAATGTGGTGTTAAATCCAACTACGGTCTAGTCCCTTCGGAGCTTGAAATAGGACATTATTGCGGCCATATGGTTGACTATGATGAAGTTGATTATTTTTATGGTAAACATAAAATCGTATTTTGTTTCTTTTGCTAAGACATGATATAATTTTTCGTTTGAACAGAGCACTAGAAAATATAGGTGGGAATATTATGATGGTCAAGCTAAGTTCTTGGATGAACTGAAGGGGAGGCAAGTAATTGCACGGAAGAGGGGATATGGACCTGACTACGTCAACCTATTCGTTAAACATAAAAAAAAACAAGATGCGTGAGTTTGCTAGACAGCGCGGTATTCGTAACCCGATCGATGTTGGGCTTGACAAAGGGGATTGGAGAGACGAAGGATGTTAGAGGAGAGGGCAAGGAAGGAGGCAAGGGAGGAGACAAGAGTACAGATGCAGGTCTTGAACGAGCATGTTGTTGCATTATGTGCCAGTGAGTGCTTGAAAGTCTTTTTTTGTTGCCTGATTTTAAATGTAATATAATCGCGTTGCTAACTGATTGTATTTTATATATGAAGGGATTGGATGCAGCGAGAACCATGCCGCAGAGGTGGCTCGTGCAAGGTATGAGGAAAAGAAGTTAGATGAGCATAGAACGCGAGCTGGTCGCACCGTTCAATCACCGATTATGTTGTCTGATGAGGAGGACAAGGATGAGGACGACACTGCCAGGTTGAGCGATCTCATCGCTCTTGTTGAGGCGGCTTATAGGCGGAGGAGGCAGAGGATGACACTGGCAGACGGAGCGAGCTCATCGCTCTAGTAGAGGCGGACTTGCATGTGGAGGAGGCTGAGGACGACACTGGCAGACTGAGCGAGCTCATCGCTCTAGCAGAGACGGGCTTGTAGGCGGAGGAGGCTGAGGACGACACTAGCAGACTGATCGGAATGAGCAAGATCGCTGAACTTGTGAACTCTTGGATCACGGTAGCTGGGAAAGATACGCCTCAGCATCTCAACATCACTCTCTGTCAGCTCTCCAACAGGGCGATCATCATCAGAATCAAGAGCCCTTGCCATCTCATATGGCTTCGAATCATTCATAATTTCAATACTATTGGAGCCACGGAATCCATCTCCACAGAGCACTTGCGCAGCAACAGGGGGGCACATCCACATTGTCTGGAATGTCTCCTGCAACATAAGTAGAGAAATGAGGAAAGAATGAAAGAAATGGATGTAAGAAATGGGTAAGCTCCTAATAACCATGCGGATAAGACACTTACTCGGATGATTCTGTGTTAAAGGGATCTCATGAGGAAGATCTGCCACAACAACATGAGTTTGACAAGCATCTTCAACTACCTCAATAGGGGCAGATTGAGCATTGGGAACCATAGGTGCAACCTCCACATTCATATCAGGTTTCGGGACAGGAGGGTCGAAGTGTGCCTATTGACCCATTGGTGGGGAAAACCCTTGAGGGATGGGATCAACTAACACCCGACGCACAACCACGTCCAAACATTACAGCTGGCTCTTCATAGCCGATCTCACATAGTTCTCCCACTGATCCGCACATCCAATTAGGATCATTCGCCTAAGGATGTTGGGAGGAGAACCTAGGTGCAGTACACCCTCAACTGCAATACCATCATCATCATCGCCAAGGCAATGCAGCTCCTCCCGAGCCCTTGCAACCATCTCACTAAACGATGGCTTCTCATTGAATAGCACAGACACGCTTTGCATGTCAACAAACTCAACATATCCATAGCGATCGCTTTCAACGGTGCCTCTATGATATATGGTCACTAGGTTGTCCATCTATTTTAAACACGTAACGAAACACATGTCCTTTAGTCCAAATTAGACGATAGATAGTACCTAACAGGTACTTTCTAATTACAAGCTAAGTAAATAAGATAATAACTACGTATATATATACAGTGTACTCACTAAATAGCTAGATCCTATTTAGTTAACTAAATATATAACTACATATCTAAGTAGCTATCTAACTATATCTATGTACCTATGTATCTATGTTTCAATCTATCTACATATCTATCTCACTAGATCACTAACTAAATCAACTACCTGAGTCATCACATAAACTAGTAAATAACAAATAACAAAACTACTACACTACAATCAAAGCTAACTAAGTACGTTCATTACAAATTCAAAATTTTACCTGTCCAACGACGGAGTCGCAGCGGACATCGGACGTGGGTGAGGCCGACGAGCCGGGCCGACGGTGGCACAGTCGGGCGCTATAGGTGCCGGGTCTGGTAATGGCGTCGTGGCAATGGCCTTGGATGCCCGGCGCTCGCTGGCAGCGAGGCAGCGCAGCAAGCTGCAAGCGACGGCAAGGCGGGCGGTGTGGCACGCGCTGCCACATCACGATCACGCAGACACAGGCGACGCAGCGCGGCAAGGCGCGGCCATGGCAAGGCGACACGTCAGAGAGCCAGGCGGTGGCGGGTGGCACGGCACAGCGTCAGGCGTGGCGGCACAAAGACGACGAGCAAGCGTGGCGGCGGTGGGGTCCACGCGAAGCAGCAATGGCGATGACGAGGGCGCGGGCGACCAAGCAAGGGTTGGACAGGGCGGTGGCGTCGCTGCTCGAGCGGGCGCTGGCGGTGCGAGAGAGAGGGAGAGTAACCACGGCGCCGAGCTCAACGCCAAGATCTACGACGCCGAGCTATCTGCCAAATCACCGCCACGTCAGCGTCAAACCCAAGAGCTCAACGCCAACAACGATGACACCGAGCAGTGTAAACTCAGCGCTAGCCGAACGATGGTGCCGAACTAAAGGTTCATATTTTAAAATCTTACCTGGACATATTTGTTAAAAATTTTCAAAAAAAAAAAGACTAAAAAAAAAAAATCGGCATTGAAAGTGTGGCAAACGAGCAGGCAACCGTCTCTACCACTCGAAATCCCGAAGAATTGCAACCACAAAGTCATACATATACCATGTCTTAATAAGAATCATCAGGGACAAAGAACAATATGCGGGGGAGGACAACATAATCTTAAGTCTGATAGCCGTCGTCCTAGAATGACCAAGTGCGCAAGCAAGATGGATCATGCCAACAAAATCCCAAAGGCACCACCGCACCAGGTCATAAATATGTGGAGATAATAAACGGTAGAGACCATGGTTACCTATATATTTCTATAAACAACTCATCTGAGTCGCAGCGACCTGCGAACACAATGTTCACGCAATCACCCCAGACTCCACTACACCACAATCTCTAGCAGCCGATCTGGAATACGCTCCTCCAATAACCCATATGACAAACAAGGGGCGTGTGCCAGGCAAGAATACATAATGGGCCCGTTTGGTACAGCTAATAAGCTGCTCATAGCCAAAATAAGCTGAAATCAACAGCCAATCGCCACGCTTTTCAGCAGCTTATTCTGGCCACGCTTATTCCCACAGCTCACATTTGTACTAAAAAACAGAAGCTAGATCTGACAATTTTGACCGCCGCTTTTACTCTATTTGTGCAGCTTATCTGGGAAGCGCTTCCTTGATAAGCTGTACCAAACAGGCCCAATGTTCATGAATACCAATCAGCACGGTTAGTATTTTGGCGGCGCTGGTGGCAACCGGTTCGGTGTGCGCCGGCTGCCAGAGTTGGCACCTGAGCTCACATCCCCGTTCTCGTAGCGCCGACTGCGACCATCAGCACTTCTCGACCTTGATTCACTGTTTTTGCTTGCAGCAACAGGCCCATTTGATGCGGAATCAAAGGCAGACCTCCAGTCCTCACCCGAGCGGCTCGGTGTTCGAGGGCTCTCTGCAAATAATGATTTTTTGATCGTTACGAAATCTTCCACATAATGTGAAACAAAATGTCTAAATTGCTATTTAATTATACTTTCCGTGTGCGCATCCAACCAGTGTGCAAAATGTATCAAATGCTAAATGGTACAACAATAGACAGGAACATCTAAAGGATCTATTTGAACATAAGCTAGACCGGCCTTGACCATAAGGTTCATTAGCTAAATAAGGCTTTGGGACATGAGCCTCCTTGGCTCCTTGCATGACCATTGCATATATAAGCTGACTTCTTAATGTTGGCTAATATAATTACAAAACTTGTTAATTACAAGCCTAGCAAACATCAGAACTATGGTTAGCACAGGACTACTAGCACTGCTTTATCAAGTAATAATCACCAGCTAATTTGTTTTGTTTGGCCAGGAATCTTAAGAAAATACCTTCAATGAGCATCAAAGGTACCCACGGACAGTTTATTATCTACATTAGGCACTAAACCATATTGGCCAATAGTCTTTACAGGATAGCACAAGGGGAGAAAGTTTGGCAGCGCTTGATGTTGTTAAACAGATAATGAAAATGGCAGCTTACCAGCTTCAGGGTGTCATTAGAATAAGAGGAAACAGATGCCCTGTTGTCATGGATACTGAGTTGACGAGTAAGTTTTGACAGGAGTGATGATTGTTTTTGGTACTTCTCCCTTCTGCGCTTAGCATTATGGTCCTCTTGAAGAAGCTCTTCAATCTTAGCATTGCTTTGCCCACTGGTGGAGAAATGAATGAAAATACAAAAGTTATTCAAAATGTACTAAAAATAAGCATAAGCCATACTGAATATAAGGCAACCAAAATTGATTAGAAATATTACAAAAGGAGAGAATATAAATCTGTAATAGTGAGTTTTACATCCTTAATTTCGAAACAGTGTCCAGATAAAGTAAGGAATTCAAAACAATCATACAGGCTACAATCCAGATTATTAGGTCCAGGAGTTAGTGTACTAGTATGTTCAAGTATATGCCAGCTTTATTTCCTTGAATGGAATATTGCAACAATATTTCTTATTCTAACTGAAATGTGAGATTATGAAGCTATTTAGCATAAACAAGCCGCTAGGTGCTAATCTATGGATGAAGAAATAGAAAACACATACTCCCTCCATTAGATTTTCATTTGGTATTCAACTTTGACCACTATCACAGCATATTTTTATTTATAAAGCTAATATTTATGGGATTACAAAATTACTTCTCAACAAAAGTCTACACATGGCTCTTCTGTTTGCAAACTAAACAATATCTTATAAACTGACAGTTGAAGTTTCAAAAGTTTGACTGCATCTTGTCCAGAATGTCAAGTGTTTGAGAACAGAGGGAGTATTAATGTACAGAACATCAACCTTATCGAGCTGTATAGCTGGTTAAGCATGTCTTCCTTTGCTTTCTCCACTTGGCAAAGCACAATAGCCTAATATAAGCACAGACAAATAATGAAAATTTGATACAAATACAAGGCTATACAACTGATTGACAGAACAATATGAACCTTCGGAACATTTGCTGCCAGACTATTCAAAACAGCCTCAACATAACCACGAACTTCTTGAGACATCCATCTAAGTTCTTCTTCAGGATCAGCAGGTCTCCGTGACATAGTATCCTTTCAAAAAGTGTATGATCAGATGTTAGTTTGTGTATTTTAATGGAACAGTATTTATATTGGCACTTCTCAAACATACAAGGGAACCTAAAATTACATGATGACCCCAATAAATAAAGATTTAGTTGAGTAAAACAAAACTACAAATGAAAGCTAGAAATGCAATTCAATTATGTATTAATCTAGAACTTACTAAAGCGCCATCCGAATTGCTTTGCCTCATAGAACCACCCTCAGTACTTGGACCCTTGAAAGAACCCCCTTTGCTCTGAATAACAGCTTTGATCTTATTTACCCACTCAACCTTGTCAGCCATGCTCTCAGCCTTTAACACAACAGCACTATGAGCTGCAAAATTTAAAGCAAAGAATTATAAAAAACAGAATCATGAAGCAAATATAACTCTGTAGGCTGTACGATTCAAGGGTATATCAACCTTTTAGGACTGTTTTGTATGCAACCCTGTTAGTAATCTTAAATACAAGACTTGGTGTTTTTTCTGATCCATTTGCCTTTTTTGAGTCTTTTGAACTTTTAGAAGGTTCTTCCTCCTCTACCTCCTCAAGGTTGCACTCCTGCAAATGAATACAGCTTACAACATAAGCAACTTGCTAAAGTAGTCCATCTCGCAGTTCTTAACATCAAGCCATGTTTTGCCAAATCAGTATAACTTTCTACTAGGGTCCAGAGAACAGGGAAAAACTGTTGAAGTGGTAATGCAAAAGTTACATGATCATTATATCATCTCAGTGTCACATGGAATAAATAACACATTATGAAGGCAAAGGTTATGCACACCTCAAGAGTGATGACACCACGAAAATGTCTCTCCTCTTGTTTCTTTGTGTACCCAAGCTGGCATAGAAACAACACATAGTGAATAAAACCACACCCACAGATCAAACAAGAACCATGAAATACAATAATCAATAAGCAGTAAGAGCATCTCCAAGAGTTTGTCAAATTTTACTTGGCAAATCTTGTGATTTGCCAACTCCCAAAATTATATGCCAAGTAAAAAACAATCCATCTCCAAGAGTTTGGCATTTTTGACTTGGTAAAATAAAAAACCCGTTAACAAAACGAAGAGCCTCGCTAAGCGAACGAAGAGCCCCGCTAAGAAACGAAGAGCCCCGGATGCCAGGCCGTATACGCGCACGGAGGGAAGATTTGCCAAGTTGCTATTGATGCCAAGTTGTTTTGCCAAACTGTTGGAGGCTATTTTTTCTTGTTTTGCCAAAATTATATGGATGCCAAGTTGAGATAGCAAACTCTTGGAGATGCTCTAAGTAAACAGTTGAAAACCAAAGGGCTTTCACATACATATCAAATAAATCAAGAGTTCAAAAGAAATGTTCTGAAGAACTGATTAACCTTTCCACTCTTCTCATTAAGAACAAACCATCTTTTGCTCCACCCATTAGTTTTTGCGCTTTTCTTTAAGAGGTACCCTGCAGAGGAACAGAAGAATATGCTTATAGGCTTACTTCTCCAATCAATCAAAATGTATTCATTGCAGTTAAATGGGGAACGTCAAGATTGAAGTTAGTTCGTACATGGTGCAAGTATGCAGTTAATTTGTGACAAGGAACATTAAAGAAAAATGTGATATCTATTTTAGGTTTAGCAGAACGTTGGTTTGCACAAGCATAGATGCATAATGTTTGAGAATGTATTTCCATGACCTAACTTAGGCACAGTAAGATTTTAGGAGTATTGTACCTGCAGTAATTTCACCAGCAGGACCAGCAACCTGCAAATTTGATCCCTCTTTTGCGTCTTTATCTTGCTGGCCAGATTTGTCTTTCATTGATTTTAAGCTGCCACCACCTTGCTCAGCATCTGTTTGGGGACTGGAGGCCTATAATAACAGTTTAATCAACCACCAGAGCCAATATATACTGTAACTGTAAGCCAAAAAAGTCAGTATGAACTATACACCTCTAACCAAAAGATCCCATAGTTCAATATTTATAATCAAATACTACTGCATAGACGCAAAATCATACCCTCTTAGATGTTGACTGTTCAGCTTCCTGTGTTTTCTTAGAAGATCGATTTCTTAACTCATCCTCCCGACGCTGCCTTTCCATTCTGTCAATACAAGACCAATATAAGGACATGGGTCAGTGTTTAATAATTTCATCATGAAACCAGATGTTGCTGGAGCTGAATAATGGACAGTTTAGTTTACAACAGATAACAGAACTGCAATTCACTACATGCAACATAGATAATATATATATATATATATGCTACATATAAATCATAAAAACTCCAAACAGAGAAGAGTCACAATCACAACCTTAAGTCGCCTATTTCCGTCTGTGTTTATGTATGATGTGGTTAACTAATAGAGTAGCTACTTGGAAATGCAGATATGTTTTGTACTACCTCAGCCTAAAGCCAATTGAATTTAATGGTCCAGTAATGCCAGGCTTACAGTGGAAAAGAGGTGACAAATGGAAGCATATAATACTTCTTTTTGTCAAGTTACAAGCACAAAGCAATGCGAATGAAATATAACAACTAGAAACAAACTACAGCAACATGATGACTGACCTTCTTTGCACTAAGCGGATGAAATGTTGGGGAGGAACAAATGCACGTTCCATATCAACAAGCGCGACGACCATCTTTTTTGCATCATTTTTGAAGGTCTCCAATGCATTTGATGCTATTGCAACAACCTTGACCAGACAAAAGAAAGTTTACACCCCATTAAGGCCACACACAGTATCAACAAGCAGAAAGAGGAAAAATACGTGTAAAACAGAAAAAGTGATACCTCACGCTTGAATGGAGGATACCTTCCAAGTCCTGGTGTGGCATTTGCGGAAGCATTGACTATGTCTAACAATACACGATGAACCTAATGCAATGAAAAATTAGTTTTCCATGAAAGGAGGCAAGATGGACACTAAAACTATATACAGTATTACTTCACAATGTGTACACACAAAGAACTTCACAACAATATACACAAGACATGACTGACAAAGACAATACCAAAGAGGGCATAACATATAATAGCACATAGAAAACACTTGATAGACCAAAACCTAACTGGACAAGTGGACATAAAGAATTTCCTCTAGATACAAATCACATGCATTAGTAGTTACTAGCTAACAGCTGAGGGATATTAGTCATGGTACATGAAATTCAACCTCAATTTTAAAAACTAAAATCAGGTAGGCAAGAGCAAGAATAGATAAACAAAAAATAAATACACATCATTCAAATGCATCTGATGAGAACTAAACTTTAATTTATAAGGTACTCCCTCCGTCCCAAAACAAATGCAATTCTAGGTCCGAACCTGGACAAGCATTTGTCCAGATTCGGACCTAGAATTGCATTCCTTTTGGGATGGAGTATTGCAACAATTGTCAAAACGCAGCTACTAATTTTCTTCACTGCTTGTCTCCTGAGGGGTAGGGAAGAACAAAAGTAAATGTGTAGAAGCTAACACAGAGTTGTGATGGCTATCTTATTGATTGATTGGGACGTACCTCTTCAACACATAGTCGTGATGGTTCCTTTGCCATTTCCAGTACTATTTTTATTAAGGATCTCAACCCTTTCTCTGGAGATATCAAATATGGTTGATAACCATCGGCTTCCAAGACAATCTATTGTGTGGAGAAAAATCTGTTTAATTATGTGCTAACTGCCAACCAGAGCTCAATGTAAAAATTGGAAGTGATCGTACCCTTTTGACATTGTTCAGATCGAAATGTCGGTCCAATGGTAGCTGTTTAATTCTGTCTGGAAACTTGCCTTCAAAACTTGCAACAATTTTCCAACCAGATCCCTTTTATATTGAAAACAGTACACTTTGTTACTCACATCATTATCAACTATTAATTTTAGGAGGTATAACTGCATAACCAAATTTGAAGTGTAAGTTCATTACTAACCTCACCAGATGTTACGTGAGCAAGAAACTTGTCCTCAAATTCTCGGCACAGCTCCAAAGCAACTGCCCGGGTTCCTTCGGGACTTTGAACCATAGATTCTCCCAGCCTTGCCAGTTCATCTTGCACCATTTGAGACTTACCCTGAAGGCTGAAATTGCAGCACAAGAAGCAAATGGGTTTAATTTTAGCAACATACCATGCATAAAAGTGAATAAATACCATTGTAGTAAGAGAAGACCTCATGTGCTACTATATAGCATTTATATGTATTAGATAGCAGAACCGAGACATAATTCTTACCCACTCAATAGGTTAGGAACCCGCACTTTCATTCTTTTACGGATTTGCTTAGCAATTGTATCAACCAAAGCAGTTCTACCAAGCTTATTCTGAGAAACTCCAGTTAAGATGTTTTTCAGGCTTTCAGCTTCAGCTCGCCAAGCTGTTTCTAGCGAGTTTTCAGACCCAACTGATTGTGCTGACGCAATCGCAACAGATTGTCCAATTAGAGCAACCCACTCGATGTCAGGAAGGTTTTTTGGACCCTTGTTCGACAATAGGGCCTGAACACAAGCTATAGTTTTTGCATCTCCATTTGCTTGATCAACTTTGCTTATAACACCAACAGTTCTTGTCCCTACAGTTACAGTGAATGAAAATACATCAGTTATCAGTTACTACAATAAAATTATAATAAACTACCGAGGATATTTTCAGACAAGACACAGACCATCTGAATCGATATCCTTGGCCAACCTCAGAGCTCGAGACGATGCGACATCAGCAGCTTGCATTGCAGGTATGACAACGAGCAGTATTGCATCATTGTGCCCAGCATACTCATTGATCTAAAGTAAGAAACAATCAGCACTCTGCTAAAGAGTAAGGAATTTGATGGCCTTAAAAGAACTAGAAGTGATCTCCATAAGTAAATGTGCAAGGATAATTTAAAAGCTATCAAATAAAATGATACAAGCTACAGAGAAATCAGAGCTATGTTCTAGTGGTCCCAAGATAAAACATATAGCTTGTCTTTCACAATTTAATGGTCTTGACGAAGTTCATTGTGGATATTACCGTGCAAGCAGTTAACCAGAACTCTACCTAATCTCTAAGCATCTATGTACAGCAAAAATAGTTTAGAAATAATTCAAATACCTACCATGGAATCATCAACAGCTCGCTGGTCTATCCCAGGTAAATCAATCAGCTTTAATGAGGGAGCTGAAGAAAAAAAACAGGAAAAGTATTGTGAGGATTTCACAAAGCAGCACAACAAAATAGAAAGGCAAACTAACAAAGCAGATTTAGTACAGCAACTATGTGGGGGTTCACCAATGTTAGAACATCAATACATAGAAAGATGTACTGGCAAATGATTATACTGCTCCACAGTGCAATGTGCAAACACAGATCATACAGTGTCACAAGCATACATATCCCAGCCCAACTGTTATTTCATCATTGTTCCATGACTAAGTTCAACACCTTACAGCATCACCAAAAGTGTAAGCATACTCAACACCGTGTTCTGTATAATGCTAGTGAAATGAAACGGAAAGAAAAACAGCTAATAGTTGCTTAAATGGTTATACTACTCAAAGCACAATCAAACCTGTACTCGTCCGCAGCTTGAGGTAAATTTCATCAGCACGGCCCCTCCCTGATCCACCAGACGCCCCCTTACTGAGTCTGTCCTGCAGTGAATGCCGGAGGGCACCTGCAGCACAGCAGAACGAAACAGAAAATATAAATGGAAATATAAATATCAAGTTCAAGATCAGGCTCAGCCCCCAAGCTTCCAAAACTCGTCAATAGATGCAGGAAGCACGGCCACCAGCACAGAAGAACGAAACAGGAAATATCAAGGTCAAGATCAGGCTCAGCCCCCAAGCTTCCAAAACTCGTCAATAGGGGCACGAGATCCAACTCACTCGCGGAGACCTGCTGCGACTTGCTGTCGATCTGCAGCATGATGGCCTTGCTGCTGAGCCCCGGCTCCCTCTGAAGGTCAACCACTATAGGCGCCCGCGTCGCCCCGTTCTCCCCCGTCGGCTGCACCGCACACCAACAGCGTCCAAATCCAGTAAAAAAAAAACACAGCACAAGGGAAGAGGGAGGAAACGGAACTAAGCTGCTCGGCTAGGAGGTAGGAGCTCACCAGGACCGGGTGGCCGATGAGGCTGTTCAGCACGGCCGACTTGCCAGCGCCCTGCACGGACAAGCGGATCGGAACAGATCAGATCGGGTCACACGAGCAGCAGCAGTGCAGCACGCTAGCAGCAGGAGCAGATCGCGAGGGGTCTCGTGGGGTTGGGGGGCGGCGGGGGACCGATACTCACGACGTTGCCGAGGGCGACGGCGTTGAGGAAGGTGGTGGGGCGGCGCGGCGCGGCGTCGTCGGAGGGGTCGTCGTCGGCGAGGAGCGACGCCGCCTGGCGCATCGACTCGGCGAGCTCCGACAGGTCCTCCATGGCCTCCATGGTCAGCGGTCTCCCCGGCGGCGGATCTCGAGGGATTGGGAGCTGCGGCAACTGGCGGCGAAGGGGGAGACCGAGACCTGAGCTCTGCCCTGGCCTGACGCGGATTTGAAATCTACACGGGGACGGGATGGGGGAGACGTGGGGGTGGTGGATTTGAGCGACACACGAGAGAGACCGATTCACAGACACAAAGATGGGATTATGGGAACGGAGGAGCACATCAACGGAGTCGTTTGCTTGCTTGGCTGCGAAGGTGCACAATTTTTCGAAGAGCGGTTGGGTTTCGCATGTTGGACCGGGCCCCTACTCCCATCGGGTTTGCACCTGTAGCCCATGAAGCGAAGGCCTGTTGAATCGAGGAAACTTTGTATTTTTGTAATTTTTACTACGTAGCGTGCACGTACGTGGTTATAGGACAACTAAATTTTTTTTAATAAAAATATACGTATCACACGATAAGATAATAATACTGTTAAATTAAATATCGACATCAAAGTGACATTTAATTTAAAAAGCAAAGTTCGTAAAATTAACACAGTCATGGAGAGCGCGACGTCGCAGACTCACAAACTCTACTGTATAGACTTTTTCGTGATACGGCTAAGATAATATTTTATATCGGCAAAAAGAATTCTACGATATCCATTTTTTCATGTGCCAATAAATCCATGAATAAGTTCCGCTGCATCTCCATATAATTATGTACACACAGGTTCGACTATATATGCAAATATGTTTGTGCCCGTGCGTTACTACGGAACAACTAAACTTTGGTACTAAAACACACGGATCTCACGATAAGATAACAATACTGTAAAAGTATATGACCGACGCTAAAGTAACATTTAATCAAAAAGCTAAGTTCGTAAAATTTACATAGTCATAGAGAGCGTGGTGTCGCAGACTCACAAACTCTACTGTGTAGATCTTTCCGTGATGCGGCTAAGATCATTTTTTATACCGGCAGGAAGAGATTTTCGATATACATTTCTTTCGTGCGCCAACAAATCCACAAATAAGTTCCACCACATCTCCATATCATCCTGTACACGGCGCTGGCAAGTGAATTAGCCACAACTTATGTAATTAGTTTTATAATTAGCTTATATTTATTCCTCATAATTGATATCTAAAAATTCAATTTGACAGGTACTAAAGTTTAGTCCTGGGATTCAAACACCCCCTAACTCTCGACTCCTGCTGGCTGCTCACTTGCATCACCATGTCTATATGCCTGAACATATATACTCTAATGCCAGAACGTCTAAGATAGTTTTTATTGTCCACCCTTTGAAAATATCATAATTTTAAGATTGCCATTTGTGTATGTTATAGAATTGGGATGCTTTGCACTGATCCATGAGGGTGTCCATGAGAGTCGAAATTTTTTATGCCATTATGATGTCTAAACTTACCAATCAGACAGAGACGAACTTGATTGTTAAAATATTTTCAATATTGTTTTCATATACTCCCTCTGTCCTAAAATAAAATTCATTCTCGCTTTCCGAGAAAGTCAACTTTTTTTAACTTCAACCAATTATATATAAAAGAATATTAATATTTATAATACATAATTAGTATCATTACATATACCATTGAATATATTTTCATAATAAACTTATTTGAAGATATAAATGTTATACGTATTTTTTACAAACCTAGTCAAAGTTGAGAAAGTTTGACATGCACGTATCCCATAACGACTTACATTTTAGGGCAGGGGAAGTATATGCTAATGGGAGTAGTTAATTGGAAGTCATAATGAACACAACAATACTTTCATATTATATGCTTATAGGAGCACGAAAAAACGCAGGGGAATAGACCTATATACTAATGGTGGAAATATTTGTTTAAGAAATTACAGAAGGTTCACCAGTCTCATCATGTATAACATGCACATCTTTTATTTAGCACTACTGATATTCTCAAGGAGTAGCCACTTTTTAATTTCAGGTCTACATACTGGAAACACTAAAATTAAAGACAAACCTCATTGAATCGTCTTGCTTGATCTTTGCCAATTGTCTTGCTTGAGCTTTGTGAACAAATTATACCATTGGCAAAGACTAACACATAAAGAGGTATAAGTTGTAAGATTAAAGCTAGGTGGCCTACTATGCACCCAGCATAAATTTAATACCCTCCAAATTATGGACAATACCATATTATCCGGTTTAAGTGGAGATGAAAGATATCTGACCGAGCGAGAGAGGGGCACCGTATGATTGTTTCTTTCCATACATGATTATTGTTTCCTTCTATGCATGTGGCCTCAGATGATCGATTTGTTTTCTTTCAAAGCAGATGGGGATCACATGGATGACAGATTCTTTTTCTATCGTGTGGTGCATGATTATTGTTTCCTTCCATACATGTGGCCTTAGGTGATCGATTTGTTTCCTTCAAAGCAGACGGGGGTCGTAGGGATCAGCAGTTTCTTTTTCTATCGCGCGGGATATCGCATGGCTGAAAGGGAGTAGCGACCCAAAAAAAAGTCACCAAAAATTATCTTACTTTTGTTCTTTTTAGTTGTAGGAGATTAATTGTATAATTCATTTTAATTTTACAAAAGCTAGTCATCAGTCTTAAAAGAATATGAAAAAGAATTGGAAATAAAAAGTTTCTCACGCCGGCCTACAAATGTTCAGATCTGAAAATTTGTATATTTGAATTAGTATAGATCCAAATGTTCTCGTGATATTTCAGAAATGAGAGGCTACAAAGTTGTAGGTTAATCAAGTGTAAAATAATTTTATATAAGTTACGTTCATTGAGTACCCATTTGTATGAAAATATGTTACGATAATAATTCAACACGGACATTTGCTCCCATCCATACATGGTTCCATAAGAACGGGCCCCATCTCTCTCAAGAAAAAAATAAATCCATACTCCCTCGTATGCTTATCTGCTCGTTTTCAAAGCAACGTGGCCACTGAAAGGTCCTAATAGTTAGAGGGAGATAAATAGTGTCGGTGTTTCGGACCGACGGGTACTCAACCAACGAGTGAAAATATGCTGCGTGTCCCTATCCCGGATGGTGATGCAAAGAGACACAAGGTTTATACTGGTTCAGGCAATAGGTGCCCTACGTCCAGTCTGGGAGAGCGATCTTGTATTCCTTGCACCGAGGTGCTCGTAGTAGGGAGTTACAAGCAGGGCAAGAGAGGGAGCTAGTCCTAGGTTCTCTGCGTGGAGCGGCGTAGGTTGCTTGAGATGTTGATCTCTTGCAATGAGGGAGCGTGCGTATTACAGAGTGTTGCTCGTTGCTTGCATGTGTGTCTATCTGAGCGATGTCTCCGTGAGTGTGTTGGGTGTTAGTCGTGGGCACAGTGATGAGCACAGCGGCCGATAACCCCTGCCCCATCCTGCTCGGATGCATGGCGCCGATGTGACTCCTCGTCCCGTCGGCCACTCTGTTGTACTACGTCGACGCGCGGCAGACGTTGCAGGAGTGGTTGGATGGTACATCCTGTTAGGGAAATTGGTCAAGGCGGCGGTGATGGGGTCGATGTCAAGACGCCCTCGCTCGAGTCGGTAACTGAGAGTTCGTCCGAGGCCTCGTGGCGTGGGGCCTCGGATGAATCGGAGAATCGGTACCTCGTCCGAGGCCTTTCGGCGGGGCCTCGGGCGAGGTGGAGAATCGGTACCTCGTCCAATGTCTCGGGCGAGGCGGAGAATCGGTACCTCGTTTGATGTCTCGGGCGAGGGGGCCTTGGGCGAAGGGGCCTGGGTGAGGCGGAGAGTTGGTGCCTCGTCCGAGGTCTTGCGGCATGGGCCTTGGGCGAATTAGAGAATCGACCGAGGCCTCGGGATTGTCTCTTGGCTTTGATTTTCACAAGGTCTAAGCAATTTTTTCGGTTCTTACTTAGGGTACCCCTTTTTATGGTATCCGACAGTAGCCCTCGAGCCTCGGGGGGAGTGTGGGCACTCTCCCTGAGGTTTTGACGAGACTCGGCTCGCAGCAGCTCCCGTCGGAATTGTGGTTTGTGCTTCGAGGCCCCCGAGGCCCTAGAGGAGTGGATTTACTCCTCCAGGTGCTTTTTCGCTGTTGAGTGAGGGGTTTTATTGCGTTTGCCGGGCCCCTGAGTGTGAGTTTGGGTCGCTGGGTCTCGGCTTGGTTGCAGGAAGAGCCCCCGAGCCTCTACGTGGAGCAAGAGGGCGATCAGGAGTTTCCCTGTCTTTTTTGGGCGGCCCTTGCGCATCCTTTTCGTTCGGAAGGAGGGGTGGAGTATGCCAGGCTACGCTCGGTGGGCGCGAGCAGTGACACCTCCGGTGAGCTATTATCAGGTAAGTCCAAGTGGAGGCCCGTGCCCCATTCGATACGGGTCGGCTAGCGGTCCAGAGACACGCTCCAAAAGTACCAGAGGGCTTCTCTAGTGGGTCCTAGGGCCGCTCGATTGGCCCCGGGGGCTCGGTGCCTCCCTATGGTGGGATCCCATTCAAAGACCTCCCTACCGGTCTCAGACACGACTTAGGGCATCCCAAGCAATTGCTTGCTTAGGCCTCGGCCATATACGGGCTCGCCCATAGTCATCCCTGACTCTGTTTGTCCTGGGGCGACTGTCGAGACCCTCGGGGGCCCAGCCTTCAAACCCCTGGACTGTAGCAGGCTTGGTGCCTGGTTCCTTATCCTGAAAGGAATCGGTTTGGTTGCAGGAGGAGCCCCCGAGCCTCTGCTCGGAGCAAGAGGGCGATCAGGAGTTTTCCTATCTTTTTTGTGTGGCCCTCGCGCATCCTTTTCGTTTGGAAGAAGGGGTGGAGTATGCTAGGCTACCCTCGGTGGGCGCGAGCGGTGACACCTCCTGTGAGCTGTTATCGGGTAAGTCCAAGTGGAGGCCCGTACCCCATTCAATAGGGGTCGGCTAGCGGTCTAGATACATGCTCCAAAAGTACCAGAGGGATTCTCTAGTGGGTCCCAGGGCTGCTCGATTGGCCCCGGGGGCTCGGTGCCTCCCTACGGTGGGATCCCATTCAGAGACCTCCCTGCCGGT